TCTCACCAAAGAGCAAAACATCCTTAAACATCCTGAAACTCTGGTGAGAGGCTGTTTGCAAGGAGAAACTAAACACAAGAAGGTATCTCTGTTATGGAGGGCTTTTTGGGCTGGACATCAGAAGGGTCCTGGAGCTGGCCTGCCAGAGGCACTCAGGCTCCTTGCCTCCAGAATTGAAAGCTAGTGATAATGTAAGAAAAATCTGCAGAGAACAAAGATCCCCTCTTCAGGGCTCCTTTGCCAAAATTTTTGTAATGAAACACAGCTTCATGCTGAGTGAATCATCCCCAATTGCATCTGTCATAGCTGCCCAGAAGACATAATATCATCCAACAGTTAACATGCTCAGCATCTCAGCATCTGGAAATGCAGACAGCAAACAAGACAAGCCAACCTGACAGCCACCACTCTGAGCATTCAAGCTTGAGTGGCACAATATGAGAGGTGGATCAAGGCCCAGAGCTTTATTTCTCAGCTTCAAAAGTAAAGGCTTACATTTTGCTCCTGTGAACAGGAATGTGACTTGTGTGACCAGGTCTCTGTGTTAGGCAGCTTCATCCTTTCAGCTGTAAAATCAAAAGGAGAGCAGTGGTGAAATTCTGGACGGTTTTTCTGAAAGGTGGGACAAAGAAAGTTACTTAAGTTCTTTGGCCTCCTTAAGCTGTAGACTGGTGGATGAATAGATGTAGCTACATAACATCAGCTGCATGCAATTAAATATACTGCTTCTCTTTGCAGATGTCCAGGAAGGTTCCTGTACATACACAGTGCACCACGTGAGAGGGACAGGACTGCACAGTATGCTGGGACAGTCACAGTGCCTGGCACGTCATGCTCAGTGCTGGCCAGGAAGCTGATGCTCCTCAAGCAATACTGGACTCTCAGGAAATCTGTGCTTGTGCATCATTTTACCCTCTCTTTTAAAAAGACCGTCATTTAAACTGCCTCAGATACAATACAGGAATTCTAAACACTAGCCCAGGGATGGTACCACTGTTGAAACAGCATCTGACTCCTCTTGACTGTGATTACACTTGGTTGTTTTGGATAGATTTATTTCCATTCCTATCAGCAGCAGGTCATTTCTATCTTGCCCATCCCAAAGGACCAAGAGAAGTGTCAACACCTCTAAGATGAAGAAAAAGTCTGATGCCTGCTCTGCTGCCAGTACAGCCTGCTATTGTAGCATAAAGGAATAGACACCTCAAAAGGAGATGCTGATCAGCAAAATCTGCAACCCTTTCTTCCAACACACTTCAGACCCAAAGTAAAATGTAAGCTATGGTCACAGGATGCATGTTGAGGAAGGCAGAGGATGTATAATGAAAATTTGTGGGATAATGCATTGACTAAAATAAAAATAATAAAATCATAGAATGATGGAATGGTTTGGGGCCTTAGAGATCATCTAGATTCAATCTCCTTCCTGTGGTCAGGAATACATTTCATTAGACCAGTGTGCTCAAAGCCCCATCTAGCCTGACCTTGAACACTTGCAAGGGTGGAGCATACACAACTTCTTTGGGCAACCTGTTCCAATGCCTCACCACCTTCACAGTAAAGAATTTCTTCTTAATTTCCAATCTAAACTGGTCCTCTTTCAGTTTCAGGCCTTTTCCCCTTGTCCTATCACTACATTGTCAAAAGTTCCACCCCAGCTCTTCTGTAGCCTCCTTAAGGTACTGGAAGGTGCTATAAGATCTCCCTGGAGCCTTTTATTTTCTGAAATACCCCCGCACTGAAATACTCCCGGCTCTCTCAGCCTGTCTTCATGGGAGAGGTGCTTCAGCCCTCTGACCTTCTTCATGGCCCTTCTCTGGACTCGCTCCAACAGGTCCAAGTGTGTCCCATGTTGGAGGCCCCAGAGCTGGACAGAGCCCTCTGGGTGGGATCTCACAAGTGCAGAGTGGACAGGGAGGATCAGTCATGCCATGCTCCCCTGCTCACTGTGACACCACTCCATCGTGCAGTCACAGCCACCCGTGGCCTCCAACTGGGGCTTAAAAGCTGATGTGAAGAGTGGCATTTCCTCCTGTTGTCTCTCTATGACTCTAGCACAGTTTTGACCTGAAAAATTAACTTTGTCTGGAAGTAGCTGGGGTTCCCTGAATGACAGAAAAACGTGCATGAGAAGGTAGATCATTTGCTGCTGCTTAAGGGTTCCAGTGACTTAAGGACTTCATTTCCTCTTCTTATGTTTCCTTCCAGCTCACATGTTTGCTGGTGCTTTAGCTTTCTATGCACATAGCTATTCTTAGATTTTGCCTCCTGGAAATTTGAGGAAACATATCAAAGTACTTTTTAAGGGGAACGTGGTCCCTTGAGGGACCTAGAGGCACTGCTAGCAATTTAACTGTCAGGAGCTTTACTTTTTGGAATAGATATGTTGGTGCTTTTTTAACTACATGTTTTACTATGATGCTTCCACAGTGAAAAACCCTAATCTTCAGCTCCGTGAGTAGAGACATGGAAGAGCAATAAATGGAGAAAAGGCAGTAAAATGAAATGTGGCATGTTATATAAGTGTTGTTGAAACTTCATGAGAAGATCTCTAACAAGGATGGTCTTGAATCCTTCCGTAAATAAATAATAATTTAAAAATTCTAGTACTTTATCTGCATCTCATATTTTGACTCATGTTCCCCACTATTTTGTCAGTAAAGTGTATAAGGCAACAGGATGTTCTCACACCTCCAAGGACATTTCAGTCTTGTGAAATGATGGTCCACTTACAGAAACTCAGTATCTGTTTCTTGTTCCTTCTCCCCTGCACTCAGAAGAGATCCTTTGTTAGCTGCACGATCAATAATAAATAAAATAAACCTAGTTTATTAAAACACAGGTCTGACAGTTAATTCAATCTCCAACAGAGTTGTAGCGTGGTCAATATAAAAAAAGTGACCTCATAAGTGAGATACATATATCCTCTAAATTCAAAATTATCTGATAATCAGATGCACTGGACAGATACAGACAGAAGCATGCTGGTGAGATTAGGCTGTGGCTAATTTTTTTGCATTCTCTTGCAGTATTTGAAGTGGGTGACGTCTCATGAGAGGCTTCAAGCTTGTCACTTGTTGATGCTCAAATCTATTCCTGACAGGTGAAAACCACAGAAAAAGAATTTGTCCCTTCCTTCCAATTATGTGCCTGCTACATCTGCACAGTTACCTTCTCAACCATATTCCCATTGCAAACCACTGCTAATATTCCCTTTTTCATCAACAGCATGGGATCAAGGAGTTCATATGGCATCATTAGGTCAGCTCTCAGGTTTGCTGCTGCATTATTGAAATAAGGATTTGGAGCATGAACTTTAGTGAAGACTTCTGATAAAACTCTGTCCTTATATCAAAGGCAACATCAAGTGACTGAAATAGACTGAACATAACCCTTAGATAGCCAAGAGAAAATGTGCCTTTCCCAGTGATTTGCCAAGTACTTTTCCACCTGACCAGCAACGATTTGTTTTCTGCATATTTCAGACAGAGCTAAAAATAGCTTGCTGCTGTTATGGAGTTCTTTCTCCGTAAAAAGTTCAGAGCATTGAGAAGTATCTTCACAGGCAGAAACTTTCCTTTGGTCGAATTTCACGGTGAGGGAAGGCTTTCAGCATTTTTGCTAGTTTTCATATAAGCCCAGCTGCTTTCTTGGAAAATATGACTAAACTTCTAGTCTGTTTTTAGTAAAAGATGAGGTAATTAAAGCCAAAATCTAAATATGGTCTAACTGAGTTTGGAGCCTGTTTTCACTTAGGTCTGATTTTTAGAAAACATATTTTAGAAAATATTCACAGACTTACAGACAGCCATTTGATGAAATTTTCCAAAGTACACATAGGAGTAGATTCCCATTACTTTCTAAAAAAGCTCTCCTCCACTTTCTCTGTTCATCTTTCCTTCTGTGCCTTGGTTAGTGCTTCTCTGCTGCATTCTTTCATGTTTGATGTAGGAAATTCAAATCAACATGAAGCCAATCCTATGAAAAAAGGGATCAGTTTCCCCCTCAGAGGAGTCTGAAGATGAGGGATAAGGAATGCCTTTGGCAGCAGTTTGGTCTTAGACTGATTTACCCGTGCAGAGGAAACCACTCCCTAGCTACCTTTTTGGACCAAAATAATTTTAAAAGTTTGTCTTTGGATCCCTGCATGAGAATGGAACTGCTTAGCCTCAGCTTTGTGAAAAGCACTGGCGACGCTGGGCATGAAAACAAAGTGTTGCAGTGACCTTGAAGGAATTGACACCACATGAAGATGCAGCCCAGTGCTCTGGGCACCCTCATCCTGCCCTCACTGCCAGCAGTCATCTTACTCACAACACTCCATGACGATGCCACTGCTTGAAATCATTCTCTCGCTTGACAACCTGGGAAATGTTAAGCAGAATACCTTGGTGGCTGGCTCAGAGTGGAAAATTAAGAAATGTTAGTGACTTCTGAGCAGCCTGAGCCAGTGCTGGGTCCTGTTTGCCTCTCTTCCTGCTTTTTAAGTCAGCCTCAGTAGAAAGCATCAGTGATGCTTTATATTTATTTAATGTGCAACCCCTTTCCCAGTGTTTGCAAGGGGAATTGGTGAAGTACTGTGAATGTGTAGGGAATCACAGTGTCTGAACCCCTGCACATGCAGAGAAATGGAGCACTGAGAGGTTCAGGCGCAGGCATTGAAGTGGTCAGGTGAGCAGTTTCCCTTTTAAGTCACTCAGTACTGTGAAATGAAATAAAGGGACTCCAATAGCAACGTGAATTCCTTTCAATGCCTTGTCCTGGGGAAGATGAACAACAGAGGCATCTCTACACTGCTGAACACTGAAGACAACCAGGGATCATATCCAGTCACCCGACCTCTGATCATCCCGACTCAGTTTTGGTCACCCACAAAGAGCTCTCTCCCAGCGACTTCTGCTCCAGAGGTGCCTGACAATGAACAGCAGAGCTGCAGGCTGGCCAGCAGCACAGCACACAGCCTCTGTCATTGAGTAATAAGAGCTCAGTCTAGAGATCCCATTTGGACTGTACATAAATATACATTGTTGAATGTACATAAATACATATTGTTTTGCAATTCTGCACCAGCTACCTGCAGCACAAACTTCTGATTTTTGCTTTGAAATTTTCAGCAGTAAAGTAATAGAGGAAGGGGTCGAGGCAGCTGTTCATGGCAGCGAGGCAGAGAGCGACCACCAGTGCCTGGTGCAGGCTGGCCTGGCTGCAGCTGCTGTACATCAGGTGGACAGTTCGCAGGATGTGATAGGGCAGGAAACAGACGAGGGAGAGGATGAGACTGATGATGATGGTCAACAGTGCCTTCCTGTGACAGATTGCCCTCTTGCTCTGCAGAGCCCTGGACTTGAGCAGCGCCCTGATGGCAAAGACATAGCAGAACACAATTGTGCAGAACGGCAGGATGAAGCCCACGACGAGGACAAAGCTGTTCATCACCAGGAGCCTGTGTGTGCTGGAGGGGTGGAGGTCCAGGCATTTGACTGGGTTGCTGTAGCCAGCAACTCCCTTGCTTAACAGAGGGCTGGCAGCTGCCAGCACAAAGATCCATATGGCCACACAGGTTATCCTGGCATACTTCGTGTTGGTCACTTTTCCACGTTTGAATGGGTGGACGATGGCGACGAAACGAACCACGCTGAGCACGGTGAGGAAATAAATGCTGCAGTACATATTCATGTACAAGGTGTAAGTCATGATCCTGCAGAGGATATCACCAAATATCCAACGTGACCCCAAGAGGAAATATGAGGCCCGAAAGGGCAAAGTGCTCACAAACATGAGGTCTGAAATAGCCAAATTCTGCATGAAAATATTTACTGAGGTTCTTTGCGAAGTCTGGTAGAAAACATAAATGGAGAGGCTGTTACCAACAGCACCCAGGAAGAAGATAAAGAGATACATGACGGGATAAATTACTTGTTTGAAGCCGTCAATTGTACAGTTGGAGGAGCTGTTAGTGAAGCTGCCATCTAGTGCCACCTTGGAAATATTTGTAGTCCGTGCCAGCGTCTCCATTTTTCTGCCAAAGGGAAAAGAAGTGGTGTGAGTGCTGGGTTACAGGCTGGGCAGGGAGTTTGGCTATTTGGGACTATTTCACTGAGGGCAGAAAATACGAGTTGCAGACCACAGTGGGAAGTAAGGGTTTGTTAATGAGTAATTACTTGTGATGTCCCAGTAAATACACATCTCAAGACACAAAGCCCCAAGAAAGCTGTAATGAGTTTCAGTATTACAGCAGCTGGTTGTTGTCTCAGCCTGTAAAAGTGCTGTCTTTTAGAGGTGCTATGTGTGTGTTTTAATGACAAGTCTCTGATCTTTGCTGTGCAAAACAAGCCAACTTGCTGTCAGCCATTTTGTGGTGGGGAAGTTTTGAGTCCCCAGTCACCTACCATGGAAACATCAAAACCTGATCAGAAAAGAAATCACTACACACTGCTAGGCCTGCATTTCAAATTAGGATGGAAAGCCAAAAGAACTGAATTTGCCTTTTGGAACCAGGGAAATTTTTCTAGTATGCTTTTGGCAATATTTCCTGAGCAATACCAGACGTATTTTGTAAAAATTAAGGACATTTTGACCTTAAACACTGTGCAAACACCATGCTAATTATGCACGGTTCCTTTTTAGCTCCCTCCTCCTTGCGCTGTATCTCTTCTTTCTTGTTAGCTTCTAGTGGTTTTCTGTGTCTCTTTTTGTGGGGTCTTTGCTTCATGTACCACTCCCTAAACCTCTTTTGTGCTCAGCTGTTCTGCACCAGTCAGTCATACACACACACACACACTGCAGCTTCCAGAGCAGCCCACATTTGCAGCCCTAATGAAAATGGCCTGAGAAAATGGGCTGTGCTCACAGAGAGGCATTTTTCCTCCCATGAGGCTATAATTCAATCAAATCAAAATCACTCACCACTAAAACACTCAAAATAATTTTTTTTGTTAGTGTCTATTTCTTTTCTGAACTCTTGATTTCTTATCTCAGCTGTCCTGCAGCCAGCAGTATTTTCAAAGGAAGGTGTCAGCATCATTTCTTGCTTGACAGTGGAAGCAATTCCCTCTCTGTATCTGCCAATATATTCTGAAGATGGGGCATGGAAATTTTTAGCCTGAAGACCACAACTACATGGCATTTCCAGATGTATGGAAAAGAAGCTTTTAATTTGCCCCAGTGAGAGTGAATGTTCCCATAGTACACGACTGCATCCTGTCCCTTCCTCTGAACATCACTGGCTTCACAATTTGAAACTAATTTATTTGTAGAGGTGGAGCCTCGCTGGGGGTAAATTTGGCTTTATATTTGGGTGCCTCGAACACCCAGTGATATTCCCACATATTTGGGGGTATACCCAAAAAAAAAAAAGCTGTGGTATTCCCAGTGTGCTGTAAATGGAAGCAAACTTGCAAACTGAAGCCATGGTATGGGAGCCTGAGCTATGTTCAGAGCAGGCCATGGTATCTCCAGGGTGGTGTCTCAGAGTCTGTCCAAGCCCCTTAATATAGAACCAAATGTGCCCCAGCAGGCATCTTTTTATCCAGCCCCACAACCCCAGGGGGAAGCAAAACCCCAGGCTGGGCTCTCAAGGATATTGGGTCTCAGCAAAGCCCTGGACTGACTAAATATATGATCCTAAAGTTAATCTCCTCCTTGTTTGAGATCCCCTGTCTTCACAGAGGAGATTGAAAAGATATTCTTCTTAAAGACAAATCTTTTCCAGTCGAAGGACTTTTAATTGTTTTGGTTTTCTTTATGGAATAACTGATATACACATTTTCTGTATGGGATCAAAGACTTACTTTTCTCTAGATTTAATATGATCCCCCCATTACATTAGGGAAACATTACAGCCTGAGGTATGGCAAAGGGAAGAGCCCTTCTGACTCTCTTTTCCTGTGGTCCAAGCACCCGTGCCTTTAGAAACCCCAAAATACAAGAAAATATTAGTGAAGGGATCTGCCACCTGTTGAAGCATTCTCATTGTGTGTGAAAGCTGTGAGGTAGAGGAGTCAAATGAGGCTGAAGAATTTGGACTGTGGACAAATTCCAAGTCCTGCTTGGCACTATGAGTGATGGTTTGTGTCCAGCGCTATCTGGTGAAGGATGGGACCGGGGCAATGAAGGTTCAGTTGATTAAAAGCTCTTGGGTCCCTGCACCCAAGGGAAAGCACTACAGGCACTTTGCTCAGGCTCCTCATATGAGGGTATCTAGCTAACAGCTACCATTTAAACTATTTTGCTTACTCTAACTGCAGAAATGCTCCTCAATTCTCTTTCAAGCTAGAATGAGACTAAAAGTAGAATAGTACACGTGCAACTGAGAAAATTCAGTGTCCTTGACTCTGGTAAGAAAATAAGTTCTCAGACTCCTCTCTAAGTTATTCAAAAGCAAGTTTCAAGCTGTTATGGGATGTTGAAGAGAATGAAGCTGGAGACCAGTCAGCTGAAAACTCTTAAAGCACCGTGGTGCCTGCACTCAGTAAAGGGCCAACAATGACCCAGGCAATTTTCATATGTAGACACTCCTGTTAGCTGTGTCTTGGCACACAGATCAATGCAGAAAGGAAGGTGAAGTGAAAGATATATTTCAAATGGGACTACCTCAACCAACCATACATGATAAGTGGAGAATTTCAGCCTGCCTTAAATCCAAGAGCTGTTATTTGCCAGCTAAGTTTAGGAGATGGCTCCTAGATATACAGAAAGAATGACCTATCTGAGGACAGGCAAAAAACTTCATTTTTAGCAAAAGTGTCCAGACAGTCTCCTGGGTCAGGAATGAACAGAATGGGTTAAGGGTGAGAGATTGGACCTATAGGAATTTTTTTTGTGTCCCCCAAAAGAAGGGAGATTTGCAATAAGATCTAACAGCCCTCCAGAAAAAAAAAAAAAAAAAAAAAAAGAAAAGAAAAGGAGAGAAAAGAACAAGCTGAAATGGAATTCTCTCTTCAGTGGTACTGCAAGACTCCTCTGATCGAAATTCTCTAACAGGAGCTTTTTCTATATGCGAGTGTCACTGATGGAAGCTATCGAATGGAAGCAGCTGACACATGTCCTGAGGCTCTGACAATCTCCCTGGCATGAGAAAGAGAAGATCAACTGAGAAAGAAAAAGGGAGCCTTTTCTGAATTGCTGCATGAGTAGATTAGATGTAGAGTTTGGGTGGGCTTTTTATCTTTTCTTTATCTCTGTAAAATCTTTAAAAAATATTTACAGCTTGATTAGCATGGATTTTATAAGTAAATATTTACCTTTCACTACAAATTACATCTATATTATAAATTATACATCTTTATTATGGATATATATTTTTCCCTCTATCTTAGCCTGGCTTGAGTGCAGTTTTAGGTAAGATGATAGCAGAAAGACATTTCTTGCCTAGGGTAAATTTTACACCTTTAACAAATGGATGGGTATACATCAATGCAACAAATGCAAGACAGGTAGGGGGCTGATAGAGCAAAAGTAAGAGGAGATTTGTTTAATTGAAGAGATACTAAACTAATAAAAATGCCCCAAACCTGTCATATTTTAAGCTCAGGATCCAACTGCCCACACATCCAATAGACTGGCACATGCTATCTCGAATGTCTGATCAAAACCAAATCTTTTGTGTAATTCTGCACTGATCTCAAACCTGAAAAAGAGACAGGACACCCATCAGGCTTGGCATGAGACCAAAACCCTGGTGCAAAGGAAACCTCAGAGACCTGCAGGAGAAAGGATAATCAATAGGAGCCTGTGTTGCCATGCGACCAGCTTTATGGTAATGATACTGTAGGATGCTGGAGTGGAGGAGTGGCACTGTGCAGGAGGGACTGCATAACTCACAACACTGCAAAAATATTGTGGCTAAAGAGAAGCACAACAGGGTTCTTGTAGGCAGACTCTAATAATAAAAATATAGTAGTAGGAATGCACTACCAGATTCCTTACCGTGATTATGACGGTACCAGAAAACATTAAGTGAGGGTAGGAAGATGAAAGCAGGTAGCAATGGGAGGAGGTTTTGGGTGTCTTTTTAAAGATGCAGTGCTGCAGCAGGATGAGATGTTATGTCCACATGCAACAATTTCCTGATTCCTAGAATAATTAGTCCTGCAAAAAAAGTCCGCAGCACAAGATGCCATTCTACCTTGGCATTCTACCTCTACAAGATGCCATTTGATCTTTAGTGCTGCACACGCCCTTGTTCAGACAGGTTTTGGTGGAGAGAGCTCTGTATTAATCACAGCAGAGGTGGGCTCAGCAGCACTGTGGGACAGAGAAGCAGTCCCAGAAGGAAGAAGCCTACATAAATTTGGGGGCTGTTTTTGAAAACAAAGAGAAAATTCAACAAGCCTACATTCCAAAAGAATGCTTTTTAAGAAATATTGAGCCCAATGTCTATCAGTAAAACAGTTACCAAGACTACCATAAAGAAAATATCTCCATTTGGAAAGCAGAAGGCTTGTCAAAATGGGGACAACAGCAAAGTCTGTACCATGACAGATCAAATGTGGAGAGGAAACAAGGAGCATTAAAGAAAAAAGAAATAGTGAAGAGCTTCTGGTAAAGGATGTTCTGGGTTGACAGTAAGTTTTGTAAATCTACTGAAAGAAGAAAAACCACTTGGGACCTGGCAGGGGAGTTTGGTGGCAGATCTCTTAGGAACAAAGTCATAGCAGAAAAATTCAGGGAATTCACTCTTCTCAACCAAAGATGCTGGGATATTTTTGTGGCTGGTGCAGTAAAAAGGACAGAGGAGTCTGCTCCACTCAGCAGATGTGGGCAGGAAGTACTAAACCAACTAGATACATGAGAGTTCAATAAGTAATTGCGACCAGATGGCACTCATATCAGTGTCCCAAAGGATCTCCACTGTGAGACTGCTGGCCAAGGCATGTAACCCACCATTGCAATCAGGCACTGTGCCAGGGGACTGATGTGTCATCAGTGCAGCTCTCCTTTACCAGAAAGGCTTGGTAAGGCAGCTCAAGGCCATGAGCTGGTCATCAGCACTGGGACCGATTTCCTCTTCTGGG